GAATTCCTATTTCCATCATTGTACTGCACTTGGACTTAACCACAGGGCTTCGTATTCAATTACAGGCTCCTTATTAGATTACAGAAGCTAAAATCTTTCAATTTTTGCCTCCAGACGGACTTGAACCTTTTGACCTTGACTGTGAAGGGTATGAAAGCTTAACCACTAAGCTATAGGACCCACACCCTTTATTGACAAGTAACATATTCTGTAATATATAATAATCTAAGTATTAAGTATAACATCTAGTATAAAACCTTAAGGTGAATTACTTAAATAGGCAACCAAAAGTTGCAAGTATGGTTAGCTGTACTTTCATTTCTATAAAAATAAATAAAAAAAACAAAACCTTTACAAAATGAATAATTGTAACCTTATTAATATGCAAAATACAATACCTTCTATGTATTTGTAAATTATAAGTTTTAATAAAAAAATCGAACTACAAACGTTTCTAAATCTGAAAAAAAAAAAATTTCATTTTTTGCAAACCTTTTATTTTTGTTTTTTTTCTAAAAGTTAAACTATATATGCAAAAATTTTAAATTTTATTAAAAAAAATTTTTAATGCAAAAATTAAGTTTAAAACAAAATGCAAAACTAAACTTAAAATAGAATTTATATTTACAAAAGTCAACAAAAACAAAACAAAATTTTAATAATAATTTTGCTAAAAATGTTATAAATTCAAACACAAATAAAATAATACTTTCATTAAAATTACAAATTTCTATACACAGTTAAAATTTTAAATTTTTTCATCTAAATTATTTCTTGTTTCAAATATGTATTTTACAATTGGTTAGAAATCTATATGTTTTAATTGATTTTCAATATACATTGTAATAAATAAAATTTTTCACATTAATTTTTCTAGTACTTCATCAAATCCCATAGGTAACCATTCAAGTCCTTGCTTAACATACATAACATCGTCATCTAAATAAAGTGTTAACCCGCCGGTGCCTCCTGCAGAACGTCCTATACGATAAAGTGGTTTTCCTGAGACTCCGTGATTTTTATTAGTTGGAAGAAACAAAAGATTTTGTTCTTCAGCAAATTCTTCCACAATCTCTTTAAAAGTAATTTCTGCATCATCAGTAATTGGCGTATATTTGGTTGATAAAAAGGGTTGTTCTGAATCTGGAACCTCGTCTCGTTGAGATGGGTGTGGTAATCTACAGAAATTAACAATATAATAGTAAACAAAACAATATCAAAATAATAAATCATCCAATAAATTAACAAACCTGCTGGTGGATTCATTGCCTAATGAAATGCTCTCATTAATCAAATTTAATCCTTTTATAAATTGTGCTTCAATTAAATCAGAAAGCATTTCCGGGGGGAACATTGACTTCCAAAAACGATACCTATTAAATTGGAATATTAGTTTACTTTAACTAAAATATAATCATTAAATGCAATATCCCTACCATTCTCTTATCTCATCATAATCTGGATTGTGCGTTAATAATGTATATAAAACATCTAACCACTTTGGGAAAAAAGCTGTTTCAAATAATCGTCCAAAAATTTCAGGAGTAAACATATGCCTCCAAGTCATCACACAATTAAAAAGTTCTATTTATATCATTAATAAAATTAATTAACGACTAAACTGTAAGAATTGACTTTAAAATGCAAAGATAAGAGTCTTACCTAATTCCTGCTTTCTAGGATTGATTTGAAATCTTGTTCTCATTGTTTCTGAAAGCTTTGGTAAGACAGATTTAACAAGAAATAATTGCATATCTTCTGGTGTGAAAACCTATTAAATGTATTCAACCAATTTTAACCAGATGTTCATAAAGTTAAAAGCCTCAATTAAAATTAAAAATGTAACATTACATTTTTCCATGGATACAAAATGTTCATCGCTTTAGTATTCATAGGATCCCAATTTTGCAAAATTATACGGAACTTTTGACGTATTGTCACGTACAATGGGTCCATGCGTTCACCTAATACAGGAAGCCAAGGATGTAGCCATTGATGAATCATCTCATTATCTGTTTTGGGGTTCCATGCGTCAACTTCTCTTGTTAATTTTGGCATGATTAGTTGATTTATAATGTTTTCATAAATGAACACTGGAAGTAATGGTGGTCTCCAACTTTCAAGTAGTCGAATTGCTGGATCAAAGTCTCTCGCATTCCAGGTATTGCTTAATTAAACAAATATATATATCAAATATACAAATCAACATGTAAAGAAAATGTTTTTGAGTATAAAATGTGCCTACTTTATTGCTGATCTGACCTTTGGAAGCCAAATGTTGTACATCATACTTTCATATGGTGTCATTGACAATTCTCTAGTGGTTAAACCCAAAAACTGGTTAAGAAGTTTTAATACACAAAATATAAGTGGTGGCTTATATGTAATTTACCTCATGTTATCATTCTCTGATAACATTATTTTAGTCGTTTTTAATAATCCTTTCCATTTCTGAAACTCATGCAGCCCAAGCTGAGGATTTTCTAACGGATCCCAAAATGTCATGTATTGTTTGAACTGAGAATGATAAATTATATTAATCCGATCTGCATTTTCAACAGACTTGTATTAGTAATTATATATTTACTTACCACTGGCGCTACTATTGCAACAACTGCAGTATCCAAACCGTATAATGTATATTCATATTGATATATGGTTTGCAACTTCTCAAAAGGATCCATAAAGAGTTGCAACGAAGGAGAATTACTAGATATAGTTAATGTAAGTAGTCTATTACATTCTTTGACAATGGACATGATATCATTAAGTCTGTTTATGCCTTTATAGATTAAGAACAGGATTTGTAAGCAATTAGAAAGAAATCATCAATTAAATCTTCAGAATATTTATTACTTACGTCCGTCTTCATCCTCTATTAAAGCTGATACTCTGTCTAAATCTTTTTCGAGAGCTTTTGCTCGCTCGTTCTGTATCCTTCTTTCTCTAGTGTAATGCTCAAGATCTGACTTTGACATGTCTACGATTATCCGAAGGTTATGACGAAGTTCCGGAAGACGTGTAGATGAATCTGGGATGGCAAGAGAGGTGATTTGGCTCGCAGATGATAGTTCACGAGCCTAAAGTAGTCAAATGGTCAAGAGTTTGAAAGAATGATATTTCAGTATTGAAGTAATTAATTCCTACCTGTGGGCCAGTCATATCTATAATTTTCATAGGCTGTACGGGAGTTGTTGATGTGGCCTCGTTCATTATTTCATCTGCCGTCTTATATTCAACATTTAATTTCTTGGATTTTATGGATTTTTTCCATGCATTCTTTTTTTCTTTTGGTACTTGCTTGATAATATTTTCTTCTTCGTGAATAGAAATATCTTGCCTTTAATATGTAAAATACTTTAGTCAAATTTTCATAAAAAAGACCCATATGGATAAACTGTAATTTATGATGATCAGTTTATACCTTTTTGCATCTTTTTTTGATTGCTTCGTTTTTTCATCGAAGCCACGATATGCCAATCCCATTTTTTGAGGCCGCAGCTTTGTCTCGATTGGTTTTGTAATACCACGTCCTTCTACTCCAAGACCTTCTCCCTAAGTGCATTATTAAAATATTAATGACTTTAATAAAACTGATTTTTTGTTTGACAAATGTAATATTTTTCGTAAACATACTATTTTATAACCCATTTTCTGCATAAGCTTTAAACCAATTCCTTTTGTATGCTGTTCAAATTTTCCAAAATCATTATCAACCTTAGGTTGTGGTTTCCAGGAATTTTTAGGGCTTGTTTCTCGCTGTGAATTCCATTGCTTATAATCCTCAAATGAATCATCTGAAATAACAGCTGCATCTTCATTATCTAAATAATCATCGTCTTCCGCTGAAACAGATGGCATCGATTTTGAGGTCGAAGCAACAAATTGTAAATCTCTGTAGGATTTAGATTCGCATCAATAAAGTTAAAAAAAAAAAAAAAAAAAAACCAAAGGATTACATACCCTTTTCTTCGAACTGAGTGTACGTCGTCGTCGTCGTCATCGCCATCGCGATCAGCCCAAATTCCAAGGTAAGCTTCTTCTTGAGTAAATTTACGGCGTTTTGGCATATTTTACAGAGTTGATAATATGTCACTATGTAGATCAAATCTATATATATGGTCCAGAATTGGCCGGGAAACCCCGGGAATTTGCGGGCCAGGCTTGGGGCCGCCTATTATTATTTGGGCCGGACTTGGGCTTGGGGCAACCGTCCCAAATTAGGGGGACGTCTAGATTAGGAGTGGATTGGATTTAGGTAGGTATATATATGCAAAATTGCCTTCCCGACATTTTTACTTAATCTACCTGAGGTAGTTTAGACTGCCGTTTTTTTTATTTTTTAGGTTTTTCTTGTATTGTTTCGCCGGCGATCATCAAAATTCTATAATTTGATTGGCCTGTGTTCACGTGTTTTATCTCCGCTTTAGACGACCCAAAAGTCTCTGGACACCTACCAGTTCATATATAGGATAACTTTCTTACGATTGGTCGATCACATGAAATTGAATAACACGTTATGATTGGCCATCGGCGTAACATGTGACAATCAACCAAATTACATTATCTTCGTAAATTTAATTCTTTATCGTTACTTTTATATATATACATTTTAATATCTATTACGCCTTTTAAGAATCTATAGTTTATTATACGCGATTTTTGAACCTGTGCAGATAGAATAACTTTTTGTACATGAAATTGAATAACACAACAATTTTTCTCTTTATTTTTTTAATTAATTATCAAATTTTTATTTAAAAAAAAATAATTTTATTAAAATTTTTAAATAAAAAATTATTGTTATAATTCTTTGAGCTTTTGCAACAAATTATCAAGTATCATATCTTCATTACTACTAATAATAATAACATTATCATTGTTTTTATTTGCTTTATTTATAAACTCTTCTGTTATATTTTCTTGTGTCTCTCTTATTACATTTTCTTAAATTTGAATATCTTTTATATTTGTTTTTTTTTTGTCTTTTTTTTTATTTTTTTCTTCTTATGTTTCTGTTAGATAAATCAGTAACTGATCTATATTTACTTGTATTCTATTTTTTAAAAATTCAAAACAAGATAAATATTTTTAATCAATTTCTTCTAAACACTTTATATAATATTTATAATTGCATGTTAGTATTTTAAATTAAAAGATAATAAATTAGTATAGACATGTACTGTCGGCCTTCTCCAAACCGATCCTGTCAAAACTGATAACCTGTCATAATCGGTTAAAAATCGATTCACCAGGCCTGTTCCTTAATTTATATCCGATAACTTGCCATTTCTGATATTTGATAGTCCAAATGTGTATGTTTCTGATTTATCACATGATTAACGACCAATCAGAATCTTGCATTTAATGAACAAAAAAGTGGGCGATCAAGAGAGCAGTGTATATACTGTATACAATTTTTTTTCTAAAACTTCTGGCTAAATCAGCAATATACACGCTATTAAGATTATTCTGTAATATATTACCACTATGAAGTTCAGTTCATATTTAAGTACAAGTATGATTATTTACATTATGCTGCATTTATTAATCAATAAATAGCTTTTATTTATGCCAATAAAGTTATTAAATTTCGCCAGTATAACTTTTTATTTTTTATTTTATTCTTTGTTAATTTTTTAAGTAAAATTTCTCAAAAAAATCTTTTTTCATATAAATAGTTTAGTGAAGAAAAAAAAGATAATACTGAAATATTTTTTTCAGATATTTACAGTTTAGAAATGATTATGTGGGAACTTACAAGTGGATATCGTCTTCAAGCTTGGAAGTATTGTTCTAATTTACGTTAGGCTTGCTTTCTGGCTTTTTCTTTTTGAACCTCCTTACAGATACAGGTTTGTAGCTTGCATAATGTTTTCATTGTCACTCCATCATCATCGATCCTCTCATCAACAATTCTTAGAGCACAATGTAAAATATTCAATTGTTCTTCTCTGGTTAGGGGTGGTGCAACAAATTCATCTTCTATCTGTTCTATTTCTGTAGCAGTCTGAATCAGGTCTTCATCAGTAAACTGGTGGTGTACTTCTTGTTCCTCATCAAGGTTTAACAAATCCTTAATTGGCATTGGATTATGAATATTCAATATATCTATTTGCTGTTAGAGTTCTTTAGCCGCTTGTTGTTCATTCGAATCAAGAGGTAGGTTTTCTTCTACATCATCAATGCTTTCAACAGCAATGGAGGGGATGACAGATATTCCATTTTCATCACGAGGAAATATAATTTTTGTACGGAACCAACATCTTCTGATTGTTTCAGCTGATACTTCACTTCAAGCAATCTTAGTCCATTTTATAGCCTGCAATCAATAGTACGTTAGTATAAATTTTTTATTTATTTTCAATCTATTAACTGGTCTTTGGTTAGTGCGAATAGATTTAGGGGTGTTCTTAAGCACTTTAATCAATAGATCCGAAGCAATTTTTTACTTAGTTGAAAATTGAATAAACTAAACAAATGAGTTACTATTTTGATAAATAAAACCTGAAGGTGTAGACCATCTTTTTTTTTCATGAAGTTGTTCTAATTGGTAAAATTTAGAACCCGCATTTCGCATAATGAATTTTTAACAAGTTGTCATTCGATTAACTGCATTAATTGCATTAACCACTCAATTAATTATAATGGTTTGAACAATATCTTGATCACTAACTAATCATATTAAGGGAGCTACTTGAGAATACCCTTAATTGAGATTAACCTTTTTTTGACTTAGGTTCTCAAGCAGCTCCCTTGATGTAATTTGCTAATAGTCGAGATGCTGCACAATCATTTTGATTAATCAAAATTGATTGAAATTATCTTTATAACGATTTTACCAGAAATTTATTATATGAAATTTAAATTTTAGTCAATTAGTGTAACTCTATAAAAAAGAGATGGCTGTTAGGTTCAAGTTTTTTTTGATCTAAATAATTAAACACGATCTATTTTTTTAGCCAGTCAGATCATTTTGTTAATCATAGAGGGAGATGCTTAAGAACAACCTTAATCAAACAAATTATTATTTGATGATTGGTAGGTTTAAAATTTGTGATTAATGCTAAAAAAGTTGACTTTTGAGTTTTCAACTTGGGCTAACTTTTTTTTTTTTTTGTCTAACCACTTAATGTCAAACATCATGGGGAACATCAAGTGATGCTTTCATGAGCTAACCATTTTTGATTGTATCACTACCTGCAATTAATTTATTTTATAGATATCCTTTTCTCCAGCTTCGTCACGGTCAATTGCATGTTGAAGTTGAATATGACGATAATGAAGTTTGAATGATGCAATAACACCAGCATCTATTGGTTATATTTTGGATGTTGTATATGAAGGTAATGTGAGTATTTTCATATCAGTCAAGGTGAGGGCATCAGTAACATGTAAGGGAGCACCATCAAGGATAAGTAAAATGTGACAGTTTAATTCTTTCATTTCTTTGTCCAATTTTTTCATCCATTTCTGAAAAAACATGGCTGTCATCCATGCTTTTTTATTGTTATAGTAATAGAACCCAAGCTCTTCATCTGTTTTTTTTTTTGAAACATCTAGGTCTTGCAGAATGTCTAATAATCAAAGGTTAAAGTTTGTGGGTGCCATCTGCATTGGCTGTAAATGCAATTGTGAATCTTGTACAATTTTTTTTGACTCTACAATTTGGCGAGATGCAATTGTATGATCAGGATCCATAGCATAGAATAGGCCAGTCTTGTCCATGTTGTAAATATCACAAAGGGAATACTGATTAGTGGTATTAATGATATCAGGAAGTTTTAGGTTTATGACAGCAACGTCAGTGGAACCACTCTCACCATGCAATTTAAAATGATGAAAATTATGTCTCTCTTGAAAAGCCTGCAACCACCTATTTGAAAATTCAAGCTGATCACTCTCAGAGATCTTTATTGGGGAGGGAGGTAAGTCAATAGAAATTAAGCAAATTTTGTTTAGTAAGTTTTTTTAAAACTTTAAAGTTACTTAACAAAAATTTGATCAAATTTAATAAAAATATTTTCAAATTAATTTTATAAGTTTATAAAATTAATTTAAAAAAAATTCTATTTAATTTGATTAAATTTTTGTTAAGTTATTTGTATTCAAAACTTCAAAAAAAAATTTACTATAAAAATTTGTTTGATTTCTATTGACTTACTCCCATTAGATCTGCTAACCTTTTATCTTTTATTTTAATCATGTTTTCATTCAAATGTACAGCTCGATGTTCACATTGTAGTACCCAGTTCACCAAAGCAGTATCTAGTTCAGGGAATATAATGATATGATGCTTTTTAATTTCAAGATCAGCTGATGACATTTTATTGAACTCATCTTTTCTCTTTAAAATATCAGAAATTGTACTTTGGCCAGGGGCTTTTGCTAGCTTGAATTCATTTTTGGCCCACTCTGCGAGTTCCTTTTGAGTAATTATCGGATTTTCTTAATAATGATCACATATCATTTTCCTTTGATCATTATGCAAGTTTCCAACTAAAATAACTTTATCCTTTTTTTTTCCTATTATGATAAGATGAAAGTTGAAAATATAAAAAGTTTTTAGCGACCAGATACAGGATTTTTAAAATGAGAGTATAATTAACTCGATATCCTTTTATTTTATTTAGTTTTTTATTTTATTTGTTTTTTTTTTTATTTAAATTTTTTATTTTATTTGATAGCGATTTTTATTTGAATTTACCATCATTGAGATTGCGACAGATTAGTATAGTATAGATGATGCAAAATATCACTATTTTAAAGCCTGTACTATACTGATCCAGTGTTATATATTACCGTAAATGGCTATATAAAAGATTCTCCTGAATAATAGACCTACCAGATATTAGACCCGGATGCAGTTCTCAGGATCTTGATTGAAATGTAATTTTTTTCGAACATTTAGATTGCATGTTATAAATGCAAAACATGTATGCATTTCAAATTTTTACATTCTATGATACAAGCTTTCAGTCATGTACTAGACCTGGGTCTACTATAGATTTTAAAATTGGTAGAATGTAACAGACCTGGGTCTTTTATATAGCTGTTTACAGTATTTAGGCTAAAAATTATAGCAGATTTTTTTGTTTGTGGAATATCTGAAAATTTAAGAGTATTTCATTCATAAAGCATTTAGTCGCATCATTCTTTTTCATGAATTCGAAGCTAATTTAGAATTCAATTGACATTTTTAAGACTGTAAACACATTTCTGATTCAGAATTTTATCTAATTTGGTTTCACCGAACCAGATTGGCATTCAAAAATAAAAAAAAATAAAAAAATAAACATCACTAAATTCATTGTTAGTAATAAACACAAACTGGTTTCAAGCCTCATTGGGTAAAACCATACTATAGGTATCAATTAAAATGATGTATGTAACGATAAATGTGCAAATCTTTTAATAAAAAGTAACACTTAAACTTTTGGACTGCATATTTGTACATAACATTTTTATTTAATTATAGTACTTACCATGGATCTTAAGTTTTTCTACCCAAATATATTTTTTGCTGGTTCTGTACATGCAAAACTTTTAATAAAAGTAGCGATTTGTTGAACTTAAACTTTTGGACTGCATATATGCGCATAAAATCAGATATTTTTTTCTTTCAAATATACTAAGACTATGAAAAAAAAATGAACCATTCTTTTATAAAACCACGATCTTTATTCTACTTATAGAGATCCATCTAAAATTCATAAAATTGAAAAACTTTCGAATGAATAATAATGAGTCCGTAAAAAGTAATAGGGTTTCATAATTAATTTTATTAACATATGATTTTATTTAGTTCACTGAGCCAGCATTTAAAATAAAAATAGGATCTTTAAACTTCCACTTATTTTCAAGCAATGATAACGATGAAGTCAATTGTAGAAGTACCGAAATTGACAGTTAACATGATAATGAACATGAAAACGAAATATTGATAAAAAACAAAATGAAAACCAAAGGCTAATTTATTTACCCGATTTCGATCTCGATTTCTATTTACTTTATCTATTTTGCAAGCAAAACGATGATATTTAAGGATTTACTATATTAGTTTAAATTTTAACTTCACTAATTGTAAAGTTAAAATTTTCTTAGCCGTTAAAAGTTTTAAATCGTAAAAAACATCTGTACAAATAAATTTAAAGTTTTGTAATAACTACCCGCGTTGTTATTAAAGAATAATATCCTGGCTGTTTAAAAAACTATAATAATACTTTCTGTTATGTTTGTACACATAATAAAAAAAAACCACGATGATTTCTTACATAATTTACTAAGCTAATAATGTACTAACTAGTTACAGATTTTCTCTTGACAAGAATCATGTGAGAGTTGAGCCAGGGTATTATTATTTAATTATAGTACTTATCATGGATCTCAAGTTTTTCTAACCAAATATATTTTTTGCTGGTTCTGTATTTTGATTGGTAGATTAGAGATCTTTTGTTACATGATTTTTCTAAATCCGATAACCTCTTAAAACTGATACAAAACCTGTCCACCATATGTACCAGTTTGGAGAGGGCCGACAGTATATTGGTTTTAGTACATAATGAATAATTACACAAAACAGATTAATTGGATTTTTGTAAAATATTAAAACCTAAAGAAAGGTGTTGAATATTTGCAATAATGTTAATAGCTAGCATTAATATATTAGTAGCATTTACAAGTTTTCTTTTCTTTTTTTCTTCAAACAATATTGTAAACTTATACAAACTTAAACTCATTATACTGTCTATAGTAATGTAATTATAAATATTAATAAACCATTCTAATAAAAACATATTGCTTTTTATATACAGTTATTCAAATCTCTATAATTTAAAAAATATCTTTTTCAAGTTAATTAATGATCAAATAATTTATTAAGACATTTTTTATGTTTTAAAAAATTAATAAAATGTGCTTGATTTTATAAAAGTTTAGTAATATTATGTTTTTAGGTAGTTTGTCTCAAAATACTGTAAAATAATTCAATAAACATATTGAAAAATTTTGGCAACTGTGTTTTTAAAATTTTTAAAATAAGATAATTAATAATTTTTTAATATAAAATGTCTAACAAAAACATTAGTAGTGTCTTATTGTAATTATAATAGAAAAACTGTAAAAAAAGTACTAATACTTATATTATAGATTCTTTGTATTCTTGCTATTTATTTGTACAAAAGAAAATTATATAGATATTGAGTACAAGTGAAATCAAATTATTTAACAAATCTTTCAATATTAGATATTCAAAATCTTTATAAAGACTAAACTTTTTTTTAATAATATTTAAATCTTAAAACTACCTATAATGAATAATCTCAAAAAGTAAATTAATTCATCAAAATAAATGTTAATTCTAAGTCCTTTTATTTGATCAAATAAATAATTATGCAACAAAGAAAATAATAGATATTACTATATATAGATAAGCTTATAACTATTTAGAGATATATACAATAATCCAATAATTAGAATAAATAATAATTTGTTTTGAGAAATATTAGACTTATTGCAATAAGTTAAAAATTAAAAAATTACATTTCTAACAAATATTTGTCTAGGCCAATTAGCAATAAG